GAAATACCTATAAAATTCAATGTATTCTGTAAGCAGGAGCGGTGTTTAAATTTGATGCTTATTTTAGTGATCCTTAGGGAAAAATCACAAAGCCGGCCCACTTTGTCTTTTAGAGTTGTTGGGTAGTACCTTCGATCTGGCAAAGTTTCATCCAAAAAGGAGAGATGGCATGTATCACCCCTGCCTGGTGCTCTGGTAAACTCGGTCTTAATGTCAAACTATTCTCTGGGGAGGAGACATGGTGGCCTCATGGTTAGTGTGCTCATCTCCAGAGTGAGCGGTCCGGGTTCGAGCATTCTGTTGTGCTCTTGGGCAAGGCACTTTACTCTCACAGTGCCTCTCTCCACCTAGGTGTATAAATGGGTACCGGCAAACTTAATGCTGGGTGTAACCCTGCGATGAACTAGCATCCCATCCAGGGGGGAGTAGAAATACTCCTAGTCGCTTCATGCTACAGAAACCGGGATAAGCTCTGGCCTGGTGGGCCACTTGGCTCGTATGCAGACTCTATTCTCTAGGGAGAATATTGACCAACCAAAATTAACTTATTATTGACTAAGAGGAACACCAGAACGGATAATAACTAGTTAGCTTGCGGTCTTGGTACACAGGCTCAGTAAACATGATCTGAATATTTTTCCCACCTGGCTGTCTGCCTTATCTTCTTGATTAAAAATTTGTTTTTAAAATAGACACTGGTGTAATATAACAAACATTAGAGGTCGTGTTTATCTGCATTCCCTAACAATAGGAAGAGAGTTGAAAACACGATATACAACAGAGTATTTCTGACAAACTGCAAGGTGTTTGGGAACAGATGTGGTAAATTACTGCCTTGAGTGTTTGTTAAAGCTTATAAACTGAAACTAACTCTTACAGGAAAATGGAGAAAATTGTAAAAATTTAAGTATGCTTATTAAGATCAGATATCCAGACACTGACACACTGACAATGCGTAAACTTGGTGAATTATTAATGATTTCCAGACAGCTTTTTCTTGACTGACTGAAATCAACCGTTCAACCTGCCTACCCTGACACATGTCAGCTTGTCATGGTCTGTTTTATGGGATTGCAAAGTTACATCTATAAAATGGTATCTTTTTGTTTTGCTTGTAGTTTGGTTGGTCATTTGATTGAATGTGGGGCTCAATGTACTGGCGGCATCTTCACTGACTGGCAGACAGTCCAAGACTGGTAAGTGATAGTTTGGCAATTGTGAACAGTGACTTTCATAGTAACAAGTTGGCCAACTGAACAGCCTACAGTCAGCCGCCAATGGCCAGTAAACAGCCAACAATTAGCTGAAAGATGGCCAACAGTTGGCCCACAGACAGCTGACAATCAGCTAACAGTCGGCCAACTAACAGTCAACAAACCAAACCACTAATATTCAGCTGACAATAGGCCAACAGACAACTGACAATATCTTTTGGGAACTGTGCTCTTCACTTTTTAGAGTTTTATGTTTGACATAAATTATTTTATAAGTGCATGTTGACAATAATTGTCCAGTAGGAAAGTGAAGTTGTTTATTTTATTAATAATATTTATTTGATGTATTTTGAGATCATAGTATTTCTTTGTTGTTGTTTTAACAGGGATAATATTGGTTACCCAATAGCAGAGTGTGCTGCAGATGGAAAATTTATTCTTTCAAAGCCTCCTAATACTGGTGGCCTGGTGTCTCCATCTACTGTAGCTGAACAGGTTAGAGTAAAACAGTTCAAACTTAGCTATTTCTTGATCTTTATTGTTGTCCATGTGTAATAAGTTGACAAGCTCCATAGATTCTAACAAGACTTTATTCACAGGCCAACATGGCCGCTCACATGGCGAGAGACAAATCAGAGGATCATGGGAAAAGTCCTAAAGCATGATGGGACATACCTACACGCTTTCTTCTTCAAACAGGAACTCAAAAGAAACAATGTAAAAGGCTAATACATAACAGATAAAAAAAATAAACTTATAATGTCAGTGTTCTCTTCCAGTCCAGTCTCATTCTCGATCCATCCAGTCCTAAGCTACAACAGTGGGTATTCTGATCCTGTGACAAGAAAGGATCCTGCTTGAAGAGCAATCCATCATGAGCAGTGATTTCATGACATACAGGCCAGTACGGTCGTGCCAACTCTGAAACAGCAGCTTTGTCGTTGGGCCATCCTCTGCTGATAAGAGACTGGAGNAGAGGATCATGGGAAAAGTCCTAAAGCATGATGGGACATGCTTACACGCTTTCTTCTTCAAACAGGAACTCAAAAGAAACAATGTAAAAGGCTAATACATAACAGATAAAAAAATAAACTTATAATGTCAGTGTTCTCTTCCAGTCCAGTCTCATTCTCGATCCATCCAGTCCTAAGCTACAACAGCGGGTATTCTGATCCTGTAACAAGAAAGGTGATGTACAATAAGTTTGATGTCCAGCATACTTTAGTCAGAGTATCTGGCAGGACGTCGATTCATTCGGCCACTGCGCGTTATAGTTGGAGGCTTAGGCAAACTGGGCGATGAAATGACAGGAGATGTCTGTGACGGTGTATAAGGACTGGGTGGAGAAAGGGACGCTGCTGGTGGAGTGTCATCAGCTGAGGGCAACAGAGAGGTTACAGGGGCTGGAGATAGCATTGATGAGGTGCTCTCTGAAGACCTTGGTGGCGTTGGTGACAGACTTGCCGAAGACTTTGGAGTCAAAGATGGAGGTGCTGTGGGTGATAATGAATTAGAGAGCAGTTTGTCAGAGAGAGTTGGCGCAGGCCGGTCCTGAGGCGGGGAGTCACCTGTGAGCTGCGGTGGTGCAAGCTGGATTTGGAAAACAATTCTGGATTCGTAAGTTTAATGTAATCTAAAGTTAACTCACCAAGAGGTGGTGGGGATGATGGGCTAGCCTCCAATTGATTGACAGTGTCCACATCATAGTTGATAATGCCCACGTGGGTGCTGTCAGCCAGACCCAAGAGAGGAGCATAGTAGTGTTCCGCAGTGATGATTTGGACTACAATCTCAGGATTTTCCACGGCGAGTGCACTGCAGTGTAGTTTGCCCAGTGGTTGGGATGACTGCTTTTGAGTAGTCAAGGAGGCGAACGGAAGATGGGCTCACTGGCACTGGAGGAAGCTTGTTGAGGTCTGTGACATGTATGGTGTTGCAGGAGCAGTCTGAGTCAATCTGAAATCTGAGTCGCTTGATGGATGATGATGTAGATGCAGGAGAACTGAGGTCAAGGTAAACAAAGATGCCTTTAGGTGCAGATGAGACTTGACAGACATCATGCGTGATGAAATAAGCGGGTTGATGAGGGTTGGTGTGGGTAACCTGTTCCACATCAGATGCAACTTTTGCAGAAGAAGCCCTGCACACCTGTTGCTAATGTCCGCGTTTTCCACAGGCATTACATGTGTCATTCGAAGCAGGGCTGGCATGACGAGTAGTATGGGGCCTACGTCCACACCAAATACAAGTTTTGGAGTTAGTTTATCCAATGGCAGGAGGGATTGGACGACGAGGAGGACGAGATGGCCCTTTTGGTCTGTCTTCAGTGGGTGTGACTTTGTTAGCTGCTTCTTCAAGATGTTGCTGAGTGATAGCAGAGTCGGTTTGAATGTTGGCTTCAAAATCACGAGCTTTGGAGATGACTTGAGCAAAAGTGAGGGATGTTAAGTCTTCATGAGAAATTATGTCACTGCGAAAACGTCGAAATGAATCATTTAAGCCAATGACAAAAATGTCCCTTTGTAATCTGTCATCCCCTGCAGGTGGAAAATTACACTTCTGGTATTCCAAACGCACGAGAGTGTCACGCTTGAATGGACATACCTGGCTCTTGTTTCAGCTCTCGAAGAAAATTGTGCGTGCTTTGAATAATTGGTTCCCCACCAAGATAATGTTGTGAAAGCTTGGTTAGCCACTGAGCAGGATTTTGTTTTTCGTCTTCTGATATTTGAGCGTCGATGGTCCTAGTTAAGACGTCCCATTCCGCTTGGGGAAACGCGGGACGGAGAGCGGCCATGGCTTTTGGACGTTTGGCTATTATCCAGTAGTCCTCACTGTCGATGGTTTTAGCCGCATTTATGTAATCTTCCATAATGCAGAAGTCTCGAAAGTTCGCCACAAAAAATTTGAAAGCACGGCGGCGATCCGATGAGCTGGCATCGAAGACTGGTCGATCTTTGCCCATGGTGCAACAGAGTCTGATCTGTGAGTGAGAAGAGAGAAACTTGGAGAGAAGACAAACGATCGAGAAGAACACTCGAGCCACGTGAGTTGAGAGCGAGACTGCGACCATGTAATCTTGTCCAGGAGGGGCGAGTCCGGACAGCGAACGAAAGACATGGCCGCTCACATGGCGAGAGACAAATCAGAGGATCATGGGAAAAGTCTTAAAGCATGATGGGACATGCTTACACATGCGATTGTGATAGGTTTTTGTTGTCAATGCGAAAGAGCGGATATGCAAATTTCAGTCTTCAGTGGAAACGTGACACCTGACCACACAGTGCTTCAATTCTTTCAAGGGCAGTAAGGTAGCCGAAAAAATGTCGAAAGTAGGAAAATATGGTATGAGAATGATCTTTGGTAAATAGCCTTTCATTCTGAATGCTAGTATAATTTTCATCGATAAGTTTATTTTGCAGCGCATTGGAAAACTCCACAGTCGAGCTGTTGCGTGACATGAACTTATTAGCAACCTATAAATATAGCTCTGATACAGTAGTCACACAGGTCCTCACCCCTAACGTTCTCTCCCTTAATTGGTAGTCAACTAGGCCTTTTCCCCTTTGCAGAATATGAGCGGACAAAAACTTGATGAGAAATCTTAGCAGTGTGCATGTGTCTTCCCTTTCCATGCCCAAAAATAACTTACAATTACCGTTTGTCGGGACAGTTTTAAATTTATTGAGGTATTTTATGTTGAGTTTCGTTCATTTTGTAGCAAATGTAACAATTTTACCTTTCATGCCAACGTTTGTAATTTGATGCTTTTGTTTTCCTCGCCAATGTATGCAACAAGATACCTTTGTTTCCAAGAAAATATAAGAGAGATGTGTATTTTTTCTACTCACTGCTGGAGATAAATGGAATATAAAAGTTAAATACCTGCTGAAAAGTCGAAGGGGAACGATTTTGTTTTATTCAAAACGCAAATTTTCATTTCATCGATAAACAAGAACTAATCTAATTATCAGTCACGTCGAGTCATAGAGTAGTGTGTTCTTATTCAGCTTTGGTGTTAACTATAAAACCATGTCAAATGAATACACAATGCTATCGAGTAATACAACTGAGGAGGGTTTCAACGAGAAGTATTGAAGGTAGAGATATTTACTTGACAAAAATTATATCCCACATCGGTGAGTGAGTCACCTCATCAACTGGTGAAATTAATTGGGGATTTCAGTAAGTGCCACAGAGTCTGCGGCAATAATAATGAAGTTTTTGGCTCTCTTTCATAGAGGAGGAAACAAACAAGCTGCTAAGGAGAAGCAATATGTTTCCATTCTTTTTTTGAACTCCGGCAAACACACAATAATTGAAGGGGTGAGTGCAAAACCATGCTAAGTGACGATTTGGGTGAAAAAAAAATTTTTTTCGCGAAAGGGCTTGAATTTTTGCATGTGGTCTTCAATGTAATAGAAAAACGTGGTCCTGTATTTTTGTCGCTGGTTTTTGCTTCGTTTATTAAGACGCCGCTTGGAAAACCGAGTGGTTTTTCTGCATACGCAATATCTCGAAAACGAAGCGAAGCTTAGCGGAAAAACTACGGGACATTGTTAAACATAC